AGCAAAAACACTGAAGCAATATCTGTAGAAGTGAAAAATGCATATTATTTCTCTTTCAGGTCTGGAAACTCTGAGATTGCACAATTTCACCAGGTAGGTATAATGTGAGGAAGCTCAGTTTAAAATTTTTCTTATTCTGCTTATGACAAAATTGAATGATTCTGTGGATTTAAGGATTAGTGACTTTAATTATTCAGATTTAAAGAGAGATCCGCTGGCTGAGGGTCTAGTTAAACTGTCTCACACAGATTTTTATTGTGCTTTGGACATCTTGAAAATCTGATCAATGTGATTCAATGGGGAAAGGCAGTAGCTTTCACCACGTTGTTTTGATATGTTCCATCCGCAAGGTTATAAACACACAAAGGGCAATTTTGCCTTCAAATGTCCATTTCCTTCACTGCCTTGAAATCCAGACAGGCTGCTGTGTTAACATTTCTTCAGGGGAATGGTTGAACACTGTATCCTGAAGGTACTTATTGCTGTCAACTAGGTCAACAAAGGATGCAAGGAAAGAGGCAAAAGGAAAAGGGCAACGTACTGCTTCTACTGGTGACATATAACTGTGCAATACTGCCTGAATACCAGAGTCAACCTCCATGTGCTGGTTTTGGCTGGGATAGTTAATTTTCTCTGCAGTAGGCTGTATGCGGCTATGGTTTGGATTTGTGTGGAAATGCCGTTGGTAACAGGGATCTTTTTTTCTGCTGAGCAGTGCTCAGGCAGAGCTGAGGCCTTTTCTGCTTCCCAGGACACCCTACCAGTGAGCGGACTGGGGGTGCACAGAGCTGGGTGGGGATACAGCTGGGACAGCTGCCCCCAGCTGTATCCCACACTGTGTGAGTTCATGCTCAGCATATAAGGCTGGGGAATGAAGGAGGAGGGGTGGGATGTTCAGAGTGATGGCATTTGTCTCCCCAAGACACTGCTGTGCGTGACAGAGCTCTGCTCGCCTAGAGATGGCTGAACACCTGCCTATCCATGGGAAGTGGTGCATGAATTCCTTATTTTGCTCTGCTTGTGTGCAAAGTTTTTGCTTTACCTATTAAACTGTCTTTATCTCAACCCATGTGTTTTCCTTCTGATTCTCTTTCCCCATCCCACTGTGGAGGACTGAGCAAGCAGCTGTTGGCTCTCTGCTGTTGACTGTGGTTCAATCACGACACGCCATCGTGAAAAGAAATGCAGTAGGACAGGGATGGCCAGACGTGACTTCCTGTGTATACAAATACCAGAATGTAATTATGCTTTCAGTTAACAAGCAAAGGAACACTTGGGGCATAACCTTAAAGCTCGTTTTTTCCTGGCCACTTATCTACATTTCCAAACACTGAACTGGGCTTTTGCAAATTGAATATGGAGAGCTAATCTTGAGTTTCTGTCTCTTGCTGATGCTTTCTTAATTTTGTTTTTTCCAGAGTAGGAGTTGGCCCTTAGTCTCACTTTTGCCTTGATCTGGTACTACAGCCTTTGCAGAATTCTAAATTCGGACTTGTCATCTATTTTGAAGGCAGTTGGGGTCAATTCCTCACTTGATTTTGCTCTGGTAGCCCAAAAGTTAGGTCAATAGAAGGCAAACAAGGCATTTTTTCAGGAGTCTTCTTTGTGGGCTTTGTGTTCTCCTGTCTGCCTTCAGGTGGCATTTCTTTCACAGTGATGGCAAATGAATGTGTGTCTGCTTGCCTCCCTGGTGACCCCAGCTTTAAGTCATCCCTCACTCAGAACATGGGCTTTTTCCCATGCTTGGTTCCCATAGCTCTGAATTTAAAGTTTTGGATCTGGAGCATCTAAGCCTTGTAGTTCTCTGGGAAGGCCTATCAAACTCATCCTTATTTACTAAATTTTGTCAGTCAAAGGGAGCATTACAAATACTTTGAACTTGGAGACAAATTGCAGGAGACAGCTGTTCATATCTATGTAGATATTTTATGTGTTTTT